ATATATATATATAGATATAGGTATAGGTATAGGTATAGATATAGATAGAGATATAGATATAGATATAGATATAGATCTATCCATGTATCTATCTCTCTGCCTATATCCTCAAACCTCCAAAGCCGGCCGAAGCCAAATGCAATGCTCAAAGTTCAGCTGCGTCCGTACAGAAGCCCTAGAAACCTCTTCCACCCTGAGCAACCCCAAGACCCGAAAGCCCTAAAAGCCAAACCCCGGAAAGCCCTAAACCCAAGAGCGCCACATCCTAAACGCCCTACTGCTAAGCCCCACCCACCCTAGGCCCCAAGCCCTCACAGCCGAAACCCAAGGAGCCCCACCCTTGAAAAGGGCAGACCCCGAAACCCTAAACCCCAAAAGCCCCTAACCCCCCCTAGAGTAACACTGTATGGTAAGCACTTTTAATGGCCCTTGAAGCATTAGGGTTTAGGGGTTTAGTGCTTAGGGGTTTAGGGTTTAGGGGTTTGGGGTTTAGGGTTTTGTATGCTTACAGGAACCCTCCAGAACCCCCTGCAGAACCCCTAAAAGCCCGCAAAGGCCTTCCTCGCAGTCGGATCCTTCGCGCCTTCCGGTGGCCGTACCGAAGCGCTGGAGACGAAGTTGAGCCTGCGCCTTTCCGGTTCTGCGCCTGTTTGGGGTTGGGGGTTTCGAGGTTCAGGGTTGTAAGGGCTTAGTTTGGGTTTGAGGGTTTAGGGTTCCGGGTTTCGGGGTTTAGGGTTAAGGGTTTAGGGCTGATGGTGTGGGGTTTGGGGTTTAGGATGTAGGGTTTGTAGTTTGCAAGTAGGGTTTAGAGTGAGGGTTTTAGGGTTTGGGTTTGGGGTTTGGCCATTAGTAGGCCATGGTACGAACTATGATGTGCTAGATGATTCGATGATTGATGGTGAATATTATGATGACTGTAGGTTCTTGCAGGTAGGTTATGTTGAAGCCTGGACTATGAAAATTATGGGTTTTACGGTTATTCTGTGAATCATGATGAGTTATGACTATTTTCCGTTTAGCGTCATTAGCATGCGGCTGCTTCGGCTGCCCGCTGCGCCTGCGACCGTCAAACGACCCCTACTAGTTATCGTTTCGCCACTCTCGTCGTAACCTTAAATCCTAAACCCTAGGCCCTAAACCCTAAACTCCCTAAACCCTAGACCCTAAATCAAACCCTAAGCCATGCTTTCCTACATGGCCTACATGGCCTGAACCCCAGCGCCCTTCAACCCAAGCCCAGCACCCCTTGTTTATTTCTACGACACTTTCAGGTGGGTAGTTACGGTTATAGGAGCCTTATAGAAGGTCTATATACCTTATCGAAGCCTTATAGAAGCCCTATATACCCCAAACTCCCCACCTGTATTTTCCATCAGTTGTTCCAACTTGCAAAGGAAGAAGAGAGCCTTCAAACAAACAGCCCCGCAACACTCATCCCTAGATCCTAAGCCCTACGCCCACATCCCGGGACGCTAGCCCAAAATGAAAACCTTAAGCCCTAAACCCTGAACCCCTTCAAGCAGCCTATAAAAAAACCAAGCCCAGTGTTTTCCTTCGCACCCTGAGGCTCAGAATTGCGGTGTTGGGGGGCCCGGACTGCGACATCTTCGGTCCGAAGAAGGAGGGGATTATAATCTTTAGCATATACTTAACTCGCAGCATTATGTGATAGAAAACTCATATGTAACTTATATAACTCATGTAACTTATATAACTTATGCAACTTATGTAACTTATGTAACTTATGTAACTTAATATAACTTATAGAATAGTCCGGTAATATTGAAGGTCGAGAGCCCCAGGATTCAGAGTTAAAAGGGCTCCAGGGGTTCAGGGGTGTCAGGGCTTGGGGTCTGGTGCTTCGGGGGGAATCGGAGTTTATCGGTGTTTGGGGTTTAGGGTTTAGGGTTTTAGGGGTTTAGGGGTTTAGGGTTTAGGGTTTAGGGGGGGGCGGGGAGTTCCTACTTGAAGGCTTCACGAGTGGAGATTGGGTTACCATGTAGCGGTATGAGGTTTCGGGCTCAACGCAGTCGGCAAGGCAGTGTTTTGTAGCACAGCAGTTTGGGTCGTGACTTTAATATGGCTGTTCTTGTTGTGAGCAGACTTCAGCTGCGGCTGTGCTTTCCCCGTCTGCCATAACATCAACTGGTAGCATCTTTGCTATCGTATGCTTCAGTAACGTATACTTGGCATCCTTGTTCCTCCCGAGTCGTATTTTGCTTTGTAATAGCAGGCAGGCAACGTGTTTTGTTGTTGATCGACGTGTTTACGCTAGTATGTTGTTTCCATGATGACTGGATGTCCCGCTGTCAGTACACCTTGGAGTAGCACGGTACGTTTCGAGCGTATTCTTCACCATTCATTCCTATTCGTTCCTGTGGTTCGTCGTATCCATTGCCGGCTGGTCCTTGCTGCTAGCTACGTACTCTCTTGCCTGATCAAAGGTCCTAGATGCTCCATCTACCCTCTATTAGACCCTAAACACCCTTAATTTTGGGACCATTTACCCCTGTTTGAAGGAACTCGAGGGTCCTGGTTAGAAGCCTGTCAATCTAAAGAATGCTGGGTAATCTGCTGTGACAGGGCATTCGAGACTCTTGCAGCCTTTCACTTCCGCATGCGGCATGGCCGCTTTGCAGGGGGTAGTAGGTCCAGTAGCCCAAATTTCGGAATCAATTAAAGCCTGGAGCTTCTCTTGATTATATCATATCATATTATATCATATCATGATCTATTATATTATATCATATTATTTTATACTATACTGATTATTCTGGGCTTCGGAAAGGATGCCTGAGAATGCCAATGCTTGCAAAATGTTGTTGTGTTTATCAACAGTCGCAGGATGAGACCTGCAGCAGTAGGAAGAAGGAGAAGCCCAGAAACCACGCAGATAGGAAGGACAGTGGTGCTCAGCACGTGCTGTCGCAAGAGCTGCTTTCATTAGGCATTTTTATTGAGCATGCGAAGCAGACATGCCATGCACCCTGCAAGGAGACCGCCTGGTGCAGATGGGGTGGCCGTGTCGTCCACGAGGTCATGTGAGTAGAGAGGTTGCATCTGTTGCTAAACCTAAGAAGAGGGTCGGCTACATGCGAAGTCACAGAACGTTGTTTCGCTATCCTGACGTGGCAGACTGAACGGACCCCCTCTTAGACTCTTTGCATGAGGCGACGCAACAGGCTTTCCTAGTTCTGACACTCTGGGAAGTGGGTGCAGGTGCAGGGTCTTTTGCCGGACACCAGGCCGGGAGCCTGGAACGGCTGGCGAGATGGAGATGCAGAGATACCCCCTAAACCCCTAAACCCCTAAACCCCTAAACCCTAAACCCCTAAACCCCTAAACCCCTAAGCCCTAAGCCCTAACCCCTAACCCCTAAACCCTAAACCCAATGAGCTGCAAGGTACACGGTCCAGGTGTCCCTTCTCATTGAGGGGCAGTCTTCAGAGGAGGCGCTGTTGCAGAGTCTGGAGGCACTCAGGGCAGTACCCAGAGAGCCCAGTACCCCTTAAATTAAGGAATAGACCTTAAAGTATAGGGGGCCTTAATATCATGATTTAAGGCCTTTTCCTTAATTAAGGGGGTATTGGGCTCTCTGGGTATCACATCTTTGCAACTCCACGCAGTTTTTTAGCGACCGGGACGGGTTGCCTCCCTTGCACCCAACAGGCTCGAACGGCACCCGCCAGCACCTGCCAGTTTGCGGGTGAGGCCAGTGCGCTAGGAGAACCTCAGTTGAGACCTGTGGCTTCCTGCCGTGCACATGGCAAGGACTGGGGGAGAAGCGCCTTCGGAAAAGAGGCAGGCACTCTGTCCGACTCTGCTCTGCCCAAGCTGGCACATCCCGGATGTTAGATTCCTGATGAGTCCTGTCAGGGCAAGGATCCCAAGAAGGATGCGCAGACCTCAATCCGTCTGCTCATGTTCTTATACAGCCTATGGCCCATAGCGTATGGCTCTCTGCCGTTTCCCAATTCCTCACAGCGCACGCGTCCGGCAAGGTCGCTGTACCCTCCAGGACAGCATCCTGCTTGCAGGTGTTGCTTAGAGCTCCCGGAAGCTGTTCTTCGTGTCTGCCAGGGTGTTGTTTGCAGATGGACTGTGCCAATCAGTGTTATGTGAAGAGCATGCAGTTGTAAGCTTCTCGTGGTCACACTGCAGCTCATTTCTGCTCCTTTGAAGTCCGGCGATTTGCAGTGATGGCGGTGGGCAGCCCGCTGCTGCGACCCAACGCTGAAGACACATGGACGGTACTGTGCAAGTTCCAACAACTTTGGCAAAGATGTGTTGCGCTGTCTAAGCCAAAGCTTGTGGTGCCATGCATTGCAACTGTCCTGGGAGTACTGTGCTTGCTACATCTTGTCACCACTTCCAGCGTCAAGGAGCAAGCTGTCGCGAGAAATGCGGCGGACGTCTCAAATCAGACACGGGTGGACATGGCTTGCCTGTGTGGTGGAAACAGCACTGTTCGCTCAGTCAGGGCGGTAGAGGCTTGTTGTCGCGAGGCAGCAACTGGTGACCCCGTTGCCCACCAAGTCTGTCTCGGAGATGTGGAGACCTGCGTTGCTTCGAATCCTCCGACCTCTTCCGACTGGAGTTTCTCGGCACTTTGCCTCATCACCATTTGCCCCAAACTGGCACCATTCTGTCGCTGGCAGTGGGATCAGTGCTGAATGGTGGAGGCGGAACAGGAGCGTGAAACGCGGAGCAGGTCTTCTTAGACTCAGGGTTTTGCGGTGTCTCCATGGGCCTTGCGCTCATACAGCCACCCCTCAAGGTAGGTTTGTTCCGGGCATGCAGAAGTCATGTCCCCCTACCACCTGCGACAGCTCCGAACAAGCATGAACAAGAGAAGTCATCTGGGCCCTGAGCCCTATTGCAAGAAATTGTAGACCCCGAAGCCTGAACCCTAAACCCCTGAAGCCTAAGCGAACTCTTACTGACCGTGGCTCCAAGTGCTCTTTCGACGGGGCTGTTGTGAACCTTTAGAAGCTCAACAGCCGGAAAATGAACCACGCCTTGATCTGCGCCATCCCTACTTTGGAATTATGTTGAACCTCCCGCTTTGTAGCAATTTCCCTGTGCCAATCTTCCGCAGTTCCGTGATCGCACGTGACACAACGAAGAGATCCTCCTTTGTTCTCCGACATGTGGGGGGTATATGGGGGTATGTATGCCGAGCTGAGTGATGCGCCATGCAGACACGCTGCAGAGGAGCCCGAAATCTGCAGGCAAAGGGCAGCAGCTGATCTTGCGGACTTGCAAGCTGTTGAGTTCTATATTTTTAGGCTGATGGATGGCAGCTGTTGACTGCATCTTGCCTTAGACATCGGACAAGACTGTAGCCTTGCATCTGGACGCATTCCGACGCACATCCGCGGTTTACCTCGCTATCGCGGAAGCCGCACCTGCGTGCTAGGTGGACGTTCCGTGCTGTTCTCAGTTGACTCAGTGGAAGAACAAGTGAGGGGAGGATGTGACCCTCATTCCAGACTGTTGTTGGCTTCGATGTCAGTAAGCACTGACAGCGTGATGGAAGTTGTCATCCCCAGCTCAATGTGACTGAGGTGGGACCATCTATTTCTGCACAGCCTGCCGCACCGCCGCGATCAGTCTCAGGTAAGTTGCGGGCCAGGTAGATGGTGCGGTGTTAGGGTGTGACTACTTGTCGGAGCACCCGTTCTCGACCTCGCGTGCCGGATGGATTCACTTGCTCAGATGCTGACGAGTCCACGATCGCACCCAGCGAGCTTGATGGTTCGGGGCTCAGGTTCATGTTGGGCCTAGAGATCGTCATCTTGCCTTGCGCCATGCTCGCAATCGCGCCGTTGATCATGATCACCACCCCACCAACACCAGCAGCATCATCATCCGCGCATCGTCAATGCCATCGTCGTCGTCCCAACCGCTTTCGCCGCAATTTTCTGTTTTTGTCGTCCTCGCTACGAGCAGCATCAGTCACAGTATCTGTCCTTTGCCACTTAACGAAGGCAGTAGCTACGAACAGACAAAGTAGAACAACGACAAAACAATAGCAGGAAGAGGAAAGAACATCCAATACCACGAGAAAGTCGGAAGGCATCCCCCGGCGCACAGCAGAGAGAGAGTGAGAGAGAGCTGGACAGGTTCAGGCAAACTACACCTGAATAGCCGCAGTTACCACAGATCAGGCCCCCAAGCACCAAGCCTAAGCTCTACTAAACATCTTCGTGATGCCCAGGCTCTTGGATGTAGGATTTCGCGAGGTAAGGGTCTCGAGGATTTTCGAGGTTGTGTTGTTTTAGAGAGAACCATTCTACTTCTGTGGGTCCTGGAAAGGGTTTCCAGGACCCATGTTTGAGGGTCGTTCCACAAGCGCTCAATACACAAAAGCGACGTCTGGCTTCATGTGAGGCAGGGACCTTGAAGATCGTCCAGAAGAGTGGGACGCCAGCTGCTGATTGCCATCAAACAGCGAGCTTCAACAAGTCAGAGCATTCGGATCCCCTTCTGCTACGTATGGCCGGTCATGCTTGCCTTCTTTTTGGGTCTCATCTTGCGAGTTCCGCCTTCCGCAACCATGCAATCGCAGGATTTTGGCGTAGAGGACGGCCGCTTGCCACAGCTGTCTCTGTTCTTTTTGCCGTGCTCTGACGCCGCATTGCCCGCTGGGTTCCCAGATTCGTATAAAGGCTCACGCCGAGGCTACGATTGACGTTCGATAGCTCCTATTCCTAAGTCCAAAGCATGTCTCGCCCACGCGAAGGAGGTCCACCCTAACCAGTCGAAGATGCACGATGCCGCCTCCACAGTTCAGTCGTTGCGAGATTCCTCCGTCTGTCACAGTGCTGGGACGACCAGCATTCTCTGAGGTCTCCGAGGCTGTCAACATAGAGGAGGCATTCTTGCAGCATCTTCTTCTGACACACTCGTTTCATCTAGCACGGCGTGTAGATCAACTACTATTTAGACCAACTTATACCATCAAGCATAAGTCCTAAGTCCTGATACCGTGCAGATTTACGTGTTTCTAAACGCCACAAGCTGCCCTTCGGTGGTTCGGTTTCCAAGCCATGAGACTCCTTCTTTTGCACCACGATTTGAGTAGAGATGCTCAGAGCCATGCAACTTAGCAAAGAACGGCCAAGTTCCAAGTTGTCCAGCACTTCGCTTTGCCTGTGTCCCTCTGTCGCGATCCGCCGCCATGGACAGAACAGATGCTTTCTGACTGTGTGGAACATTCGGCCTCTTCTGGCACACGGTGTGCCGGTGGGTTGCAAGAAGGTTCAGGCCTTGTCTAAGCCTTTGCAGCCACACCTCAGATTTTACGCTCACACCGTGGTGGCAGCGAGTCTGCATTTCCACCAGCATGGACGACCTACGTATGCTTGCATGGGTTTGGGTCACACCACACCACGCTACGACGACGACAACATACGACAACAACAACAACTGCTCAGAGAAGCGTGATTCAGCAAACGC